ATATACCATTGCAGAGCTTTCAGCTTATGAAATGCATCATTTGAGGAGATTCAGATGAGTGGATTGGTGCAACAATATGATTTTTCACAGCTTGCTTCCCAATAGGAAGCAACAGCTCATTCAGAGGTGATGAAATGAGCCATATGTGAAGAATAACTGAAAAAAATAATGTCTACTCGTAGCAACAAAAAAATATCCCTGCCTTTTTAGGTTATTCTTTTTTTATTCAAAAAGGTATACAAAAATGTATACTCTATAAATGTATGTGTTCTTTATTAAGTTTGAATTTGATCCCCCCAAAACGTAACAAACTAACTTTGATATGATAAAACTAACAGTATCTGTAATTTATTGTAATTTATTGTTTCCTCATGTGAAATATGCCTTTGTCCAAAAGTTTTGGAAAGCTAAATTGTTAACATGAAAAAGCATTACATATTGCACAGGCAAAATAGAGACGTAACAGGTTTACAAAAGATTTGATATAACAGGATGGAAAGTAACAAAAGTCAATCAAGTCTAATTTTCCCTCTGATCCAAATGAGCAACTTAATTAATTTAGTGTACAGTAAGCAGTTTGCTTACATGGAAAACTTTATTACATGTAATTAATTATTATGTTATCTATTTAAGTAATTCGCAATATTATAATTCATTGAATAAGATAAATCAGTTTTTTGTTATCAAACATAATTACATGGTATTGTCATATTATAATTATTTCATCTGTTTGCGCATAAGAAATATACTGTATGTAACAGTGGGATTTCACAAAACATTATACATTTCATTGTGAATAAATATATCAGGTAAATGTGGGAGGAAATTCAGTGTTAAGTTGCAGCAAGGAAACTGGTTTGTACTGAAAACAGAGAAATGAAATATTACAAGGGAGGAGTGATGGGAAATGGAGTATTTCAGCTTGATGTGTTTAATTATAAGTTTTAGGAGTGATGAGAAATGTTTCAGCTTCACATGTTTATTATTTTTAGGATTGATGGAGAATACAGTACCGCAGTTCAGCATATTTCATTACGATTTTCATTGTGGTTGTTACTGATTGCAATTTTATAAAAACTAGACAAGTGAAAAATACTTTTACTGTTGTTAATATAAACAATTTTTCAAGGGGCGGGCTAGTTGTGGTGAAGAAAAGACACCGGCATCAATAATACTTGGACTTTCCTCATACTCGGGCTTTCCTAATTGCTTTTGTTCAATATTATAGCCGTTTGAAGGGAATCAATTTATTAGTTTGTGAGATGGAAGACTGGAATTCACAATCTGAAGTACAATTACTGGGAGTCTCATAAAGAATCAGGATGAAATTAAATTAGGTTCTGCACATCGTATGCTACCCCCAACAGTGGAAAAGCTTAGTCATGGTAGCATTGATTATTCAATAAAGCCCAGTTTCCTGGTTCAGAGCATTAATGCTTCATCATATCTTTCATATCCTTGTTTTAATGAGGCCTTGTATTATGTTGTCATGTGCACATGCAGATTAAAACAGAGCTACTTGGTGTTGGTCTTCAACACTTACATAGATTTGTATTAACTTTGCCAGAAATTAGACCTCTTTGAATTGGCATACCTTCATTAAATATAAATTATGAAGTAACAAATTGCATAACAGAACCAATTGCAGATTGCTGATGTTAAATGTTATTACTTTCCTGCCCCGATGTAGAACTCTTCATTATATCCTAATTTTTCTGTCATCCTTCCTCACTTTGTTCACCTCACAGTATGTTAGTAATTCAGTGGAAACACTTAAAAAATGATATTTACAGTAAAATATGATGCCAAAATATACAGTAGATCTAAAATCGCACGGGATGCTGGAATCGTCATTTATAAAACGAATGAACCAGTAAGAGAGACTTCACGCAATTAAAACCCGTCTTATAGTCGTTTGTTTTCAAAACTTTATAAAATGTGTGCCGCAGCTGTTCAGGAGATAATATTAAAACTGTGTTGCAGTACTGAGCCTCTGCACAATGGGTTTTTCCACTCTTAATTAGGCTTGTAATTTTTTTTTCCGAAAAAGAAAACAAAGCTGTTGAATATTTTATCTTCGTGTGGCACAAAATCGCTTAATTTGACTGTCAATTGTACGACTTCACTTATTGTTAATTGCTTTTTTTAAGGCCTACAAGCTCACACTGAGAAAAGAGTTACCTTTCAGCGCTTTGTAGCATGACACACTGAGAGGTTCCAACACGGGCTAGGTGAAATAGGCAGCTCAGGCTATGATACGAGCCTTGGAGACAGCGACACTGGGGCATGGCTGAGAAGCATGTGTGCTTTCAGTGATTGGGATGCACAATCCTGAGTTGCAACATTCAAGGAATGAGGAATGATTTGGCGTCACACTGAAAGAGCAAAATCCAGGACCTGAATTTTAATTTTTTCTTTTCCCCACTCACTGCGTTTCCTGTCAAGGAACTGTTCAGGTGTGTCTGCTGGGCTGCTTGTGAGTCAAGATCTCGGCGTGTGAGAAGAAATACAAATGCGATTAGAACTCTGCCAGACTCAATCCCAATTCCCTTTTGCTAAATTGACCCTTAATTGATCTCCAAGCCAGTGCTTTCTTTCTGTCTCTCCTGGTTGATCTACCCGTGTGAAACTGGTCCTTACAGCATTGTTTTATATTATTTCTTCAGGCAAGATACCAGAAACCAGCAACAGTGGGGGTTAAAATTGCCTTGCTCAGCCACAAAGGCAATTCCTCCTCTCTTTTATTCCACCGTTGAGTCTTATTTTTTCTCCTGATAGCAGTCTACTGCATCATGGTGTCAAAAAGTGCTGAATTGCATTGCTAAATAAAAACACAGTCTTGCTAAGCTAGCAACATAGGCATAGAATGAAAAAGCGTTTCTTTTCCCTTCATGAAATGTGATGTGAGGTCCCATAGTAAAAGACAAGCCTCTCCCCAGAGGCTTTTTACACTCAAGGTCGGGCTCTGTTGTTGCTAAAATCTGGAAGGTATCTCAGGTAGAAGTCAATATACACAAAGTTGTCACTTGGACACGCATGTAAAGTAACAGAACTTGGATTTGGATTTTGGGATTCCCTTAGCTTTGTTTAAGCTAAACATTCAAGTGACCAGTGTTTCTATCTGAATTGATCTTGAGCTGCCTCTTGATCTGCATTTTTGGTTCAAAGGTGCTCACATGGGCTTCCTATGCGATTGGCAATTGACCACATAAGCCCTGGAAAGCACTGCTCACCACACGATCCATCACAGACATTGGCAGGCACGTCTGCTAATTGGGCTTCTGCAGAGCAGGGAATGACAAAGAGAACAGGAAGACCTGCTGCCACCTTACACATTCATGCAGGTTTGCTGAAATAATGAATGAGAAAAGAAAAACAGAGTACATTCCCAAGATCCTTTGGCCTTAATATATATTTCCTCATTCATAAAAAGCAACCCATTGATAAGAAAAAAGCAAGGTCATTTATATTGCATTTCCAACTGGTATGTAGGGTATGTGGTGTGTAGGGTGAATGGAAGTGCTGTGTTGTGTAATGTTTGTACAGATGCTTGAGTCACTGAGTTTTTTTAACCCGTCTCAATTTTTAAGAACTATAAAACTTACATTCTGACCTTGCTACAAATTTATATCTAAATTATACAAAGCCTTATTATTTAATTGCTCTATTGTAGCATGCAAGTTACAAGTTACAAGGCGAAAAAGCTTTGCATGGACTAAACGGGCAGGGAAGTACTGTATGAATAGCTTCCTGCATGATTGTCATACAGATTTAAAAGAAAGCTTTTTAAATGACTGTTCAGGCTCACTTGAAAGCTTTGCAATTAGACTAATAAGGTTTTAAAAAATGCTTTATTACAACTAAAAGTAAAAGTTCAATTTTCGGTTTCCTGTGGAAAGGGTATCAATAATATTGAAATTGTTGACACAGAGACAGTATCTTTCATGGTGTAATATGTTAATGAAATGTATTACGTTTCTGCCAATATAAAACGCATTTCAATGTCAATATACAGTTTTAATGATCTGTCTAATAAGGTCGGATATTCATGTATAGCATGCAAGTGAGCATGACGTTCAAAACATCAGGTGCATTGTGTTGCATTGAGATTCTCTTTAAGATCATTGAAGCCACATTATTAACACAATTAATAAGAGATACATCCAGCAGAGGACCAAAAAGGACCTAATCACAAAATGATTTTTATGTCATCAGTAATTTTAAGTGTCTTCTGAAGCACTGAGTCTCTAATTGGGCAGCAGCTTCTTCAGCATTTCTCACGCAGAGGGGGATGCCAGCTGTGATGAAGGAGCAAGTTCTTCTCCACAGCACCAAGGTGCCAGATTGCAATGCAGCCTTCTGCTTCTGTCTGTTGTCAAGGAAACCACCGTAGGTAGCAGAAGCCTTCAGCATGCCTCTGTCTCTTCTGATGCTTCCTGAGACTTATTTAGGCAGTTTATGAAACAGTAGAATCCAAACCCATTGATTGCAACATGTGCTGTAGTAATCTATAGCCGAGACCTACTGAGGCAGTGAAACGAACACAAAAATGCGCAGCTTCTGACAAAACAGAGCCCCGGCGAGCTGTGCCAATACATCGTTTCTGTCAGATCCTAGATGCACATCTCCTCGTCTTCGAGGGCCAAAGTCCAGCAGGTGTTCTAGGTCTCTTTAAATACCCAAGACCTTCCTAACAATTAGCTCGGTTACGTCATTAGTGTATAGGACATGAGTCATTAGAGCAGAGATGGGTGAAGTTCCAAATTCATCATGGTGCTGGCTTGACCCATTCACAAACCACAGCAGCACTTGGTACAGAGCAGCTTTTAAAGTGGTCCAGAGATCCCGAGGTCTTTATCAGCGTATGTAGCCAACAGATCTTTTTGTCTGTATTTTAAGCTTCTGGTTGAGGGTAGCAATGCCGGAATTGAGGCAATAATGATCTTGAACCCCAAGAGCAGACAGAGGAAGGATACTCTCATTGACGTCTTTCTCCACAGCTTGATGCTGACAGAGACGAAGAAGACGTTTTCTATGACATCAGTGTGACTGTCGACAACAAACTGTTTCCCACCAAAGAACCTGTGGCAGGTAAGCTAAAGGTCTTTATTTTATGATGTTGAAAACAGTGAGGGATATATTTTAATTAGCACATATCAAAGGGAACAGAATGAAATACTAATGAACAAATAAAAAAACAAACATTGTAATTGCGGTCTATGTATTAAATTTCAAATAATTTTTTTTAAAAAAGATTACTGTTTAAGTGAGAAACAAGATGTTCCTCTTCGCAATCCATTGCTACACTATTTCTATCCACAATGTCTCTCTAATTCGTGCAGCAGGGAGTTTTTGTTTCCATCCACTTTACAGAAGAGAATGAAACACAATGTTGATGTCATTTGTACAAGGGTTGACACAGGCTGACAGTGATGTGTTTGGTAAGATGTGTTTCTCAGCTGAGAAGAGTGTTTGAGCTCCATTTTGTTTACTGACTCTCACAGCATGTCCCTTGTAAAAAAGTGGCACTCTCTGATTTTCTTCCTGCATAATCACATAATCTGTGATGCCCCAGATATTTATGGTCTTCAGAATCTAGATATATGTAGATTTATTTGGAAAACAGATTAATTAAAACACAGTTGTCCTGTAAAGACACTCACCTAAGCAAAAGTTGAGCTCTATGACCCAGTATATAGCCATCATACAGCAGTAACCTGGCAGCAATTACATATGCCTTATAGGTTACTGCTAAACTGAAGAGTTATGAAAGTCGTCAATTCACATTGCTCAACATTTTCAAAACATTATAGTTCAAAGTGAACTACTTACAGTATGAGCTTCCTATATGAAATGTTGTAGTACATACAGTACATTGACCAAATGGAATTTATAACGGATGTTCCGGAGATCTTAATCTCTGTGTTGTTCCACTTACTTAAGTAATGTACTGTGTATCTATATATCTCACTCTCTGGACTTCCCTTTGCCTGTCTCTCCTGCCACACATCCACACCCTTGTAGCAGCTCCCTGGCTCATTCCTCATAAAAGTGAAGGGGATTCGGGAAGCCTTACCCTCACAGCTAAGGCGCCATTCCCTGAGCTCAGCGAGTCACACCAAATACTCTCTACATACTTCTCCCTCCTACATGAGAAGAGCTTTAATGCCCTTTGGGATGAAATATATACACTCTCCTATACACTAAGAGCAATGAGTTATTTAACATCATTTGAATATTAGCACAAGTGCTACTGTAGGTATATAGGTAATTTCCATATCCATGCCACAAAGGATCATCAGGCCAGAGCTTATCCATGTTTCCATGGCGTTTAACAAACACAAAGCATGTCATGGGGCGCCAGTCCATCACAAAGCCTCCAAGTACTTTGCTCAAGTTGCAGCAGCAGTGTCTGCAGCAGCATCCCAAACCCACAACCTACCTGGTACAAATCCAGGGGCTTACCCACATGCCTGTTCCTCAGTCCTCTGTATTTGGGAGAAACTAGTTACTTGACATATAATTTCTTTCTCCCTACACAACAAAAAGGCTAAAATGCTACTTCTTGTAGAGATCTGTCAGAACAAACTGTCAGTTGAAAGGAAAATGGCCTGCAGTAGAGAAGTGCCACAGAATAGCAAGGATTTCAGCAAGGACCGATTCTGCATATGAAACAAAAAATTGACAGACACATACAGTATTTTAAAAAAGCGGTAAGACATTTTTTTAAATTCCCATGTGATCCGGAAAGAGAGCAGAGTTCTTTTTGAGTTTGTGATCATAGGAGAAAATAAAATATAGGAGTTTAATCTGATGGATCAAGACCTTAATTGTATTTAGCTTCAGTTTCATTGTTATATGGACTTAAAAGATAGACTCTGTACCATTATCATTCAGTGCAATATCGATAGATAACTGTCCCAAAGTGGTGTAAAACTGGTGATGAACAGGATACAAAGATGAAGCCATTGGCAGAATATGATGGCAGAATATGAGTGAAATTGCTCATGAAAATCTGAAATAGTGTTATTTTAGTGATTTGTTGGTAATTGTACCCATTTCTAGGCATTTCGTGACACTTGCAAAAGCATACTGCTGAAGCAGATATGCACACTCTCTCCATTCGATGTTGAAATTGTCCTATTATAGGCAGAGGGCTGTGCCTTTGAAAAATGTCCCGGAAATACAATTAGGGAGACACAAATACGAGAGGTTGCAAGAGGTAATGAGGATTCCAGCCGAATCCTCTGACTGGTGTGGAATGTGTCGTTAATAGTCAAGGTCTTCATTGAAGTGTGATAGGAGGACAAGAAGACATTATGTCAGCGTTCATATTTCATTAATATTGCTTCAGGACATTTCCCTGTGTCTCATTTGATAACAATCATTGCTCATTCATTTCTAACCATCTCTCTCACGTAATTTAAGTTTTATTTACATTTAAATTGTGTCTTTCGGAGTTTCTAATTTCATTGCCATAGTTTATTCCCATTTGTGCCAGGCATCACAGACCAGTGCTGACATTTGTATAATGCGCAGAGACCAGCAATGAAATAGGATATTTCAAATGAACTGCTTATGAATGCTCCTCACGCCATCTCAGAGGATGCGTACAGCACGCCGAGTCAGTAATGACGACAGTATGGTTTATTTTACCAACGGCAACTGAGCCCCTTCTTAACAGCGCACACCTTGTGTGGAGTGGATTTGTAAATAGACTTATGGCAAATCTCAAAAGGCATCTATCAGAAGGATGAAGAAGGCACATTAGAAAAGAAAAGAACTACCGAATGATGGGGAAAAAAACTCCTGCTCCAGTGGACCAAATGCGTTGCAGCATTGCTGATTGTTATGAGAGGCTCGGGCGTCACCAGGGCGACGGTTTTAACAGGGCATGGCTGTGGGGGGCATGGGAGGAATCCCTCCAATCTTGATTGGATTGCACCTGAATAACGCTGAAAAATAATTCATGGCTTGATGTCATGCTCATTAGTATGGGTTAATGGCATTGTACGTTCATGGAAAATAATTTCCTCCACTTACACTCCACATAAATAATTATAGTGATACGGTTTTATTCGTGAGTGATTTTCAAGAAGCTCAATGCACTAATGCACAGTCAGAAGTGAAAGTAGTAAAAAAGAAAAGCACAGCAAATTAATTTAGTGACACAAAGAGTCAAATAGAACTAACTCATACATTCAAAGATCTGGTGAAAAGGAGGTTTTTAACAACAAAGAGAGATGCACAGCGTCACAGAATAAGTACAGTAGCTGCTGTTTTTTCCCCCCCAGACTGATAGGATAAACACTCCAAATTGCATAAGCCTACTTAACATCTTGGTTTCAAAATATGAGGTCTTTTAAAAATGAAAGCGCATGAGAGGGTAGTTGGCTCGGAAGCAGAAATCTAGATGAGAAATCAGCATCAAAACCCAAGAACTTCATTACTGGAGAATACATACAGTAACTGTGAACTACAGAGCTATAGTGCACTGCACAATGCTGGTGTGAACTCTTGTTGATTATTGTGAGGGCAGTGGGTTATACGTGCAAGGAGCTTTTCAGTGCACACTTAATGAACAATATAGTGGCATTTGGCGTGTTGTTTTTTTTTTATTTTGGACTGTTATTTACCCTTTTCACAGGATGTAAAAAGCAACATAGTTTTGAGAAGGTCAGGAGAGTGTGCCATTCCACCCACAGGGGGTTTGTGCTTTCTTGCGTTCCAATGTGTTACAAACACAGAAGAGACACTTACACCTCCGTCTTCTGTCCAGCCTCATTGGAATGATTAGCTCTTTGATCCCGTCTTTAAATTTCTCCAAAACTGACAACTCGCAGAGGGGGTGAGAGTGTGCCTCCTGCACGTCCCAGTCAATAGAACAGCATTATTTGGAACTGAGCAGATCACCCCTCTCTCTGCATCTCCACGGGGCGTTCTTCAGGAATCCCTGCTCTCAACTTGAATGTTAGCCTCCAGCAGCCGAAGAAGGTCATGCCACCAAAGGTCACTGAAACTCCTCTGACGAGCCCGTGTCCTTAATTAAACACCGAGCATGGCCTGTCCAGCCATCACAAAGGCTCAGGGCTTTTTAAAACCGCCAGGCTCTGCGGATCACTGAATTGCTTGCTTGAATGAGTTTTCTGTTCAAAAGGTTTCTCGAATGCACCAAGCCTTTCCTTGTCGATGCGGTCTATAATCAGATTTGTGTGAATGAAACTCTACCGGCTGGCTAAAGAACCCTTCAGGCTTGTTTCTCCTTGTGCTGGCAGGGTCTCTGAAGAGTCATGTCAGCGGATTTTTCTAGTAGCTGTATTCCATATACGGCACACGTACGAACGAGCATTTCTCACGGCCCTTCATGTGTTCTGTTGACTAACGCTGTTCAACCCAGCTTCCTGCAGCTCTCGGACGTTGTTGTCAGTTTTTCCACTTTCCCTGAACATCATGGGAAGAGGATGGATTTTCAAAACAAATTGGCTCGCTGTTTGGCGTCAACACTTTCTCTCTCTCTCTCTC